TTCAGAAGTCTTTGGTGTGGACTGATCAGCGTAAACTTTAAACGAAGAATGATGCAGGCTGAGTCTGTTGGTCTACATTTTATAGGAAACGGCAAAGGTCTTCGTATCCTTATGACGCTAATGCATGCGTGTTTGTGTGGGTGTGTAAGCGGGACAGCAGGTAGATTTACGAGATCATTTATTGTTGTTTATTGTTGCTCTACAACATATTTATTACTTAGAATTTTAAATTTTTTTTCGGGTACATTTGAATGCATTAAAGAATTTCGTCACGTTAAGATGTGTAAGCATTTTGTATTCAAAACTAATTTATTTTTATATGCATCATTAAAAACATCTCCTTAGATTAAATTGACATAATTTGTTTTATTGTTTAAAAAATATAACTTTACATAGTTAACTTCAATTTCGGGATTTGTTTTTTTAACGGGTTGTATGCGCAATTCGTCATGGACTATTCTCAATTCATGGAGCGTGTCGCAACAACAACTTTTTTGAAAATGAGTAAATTTTCCTTTTTTAAAACAGATCGCCGTGCTGACTTGTTTTCAACTGGCTTTACAACACTGCTCTCAGTTGTCTAAAGTTAAAAAAAAAAGTATAATATTTGAGCGAAAAGCAAAACAAAACGAGTTTTTTATTAGAATCTTAGGTAAATAAATATAGAATATTTAGTTGAAAGAAGTAATTAATATGAACTACATCGCTCGATCTTACTTTTACTTTTAGTTCCATTTTCGAATTTCCCTTCGTTTATCCCAGTGGACCATTCACAAAAGTACGACTTTTTTACTTTGAAAACTATCACCCGAGTTGGGCATTGTTGAAACGATTTCAACTCAAATAAATAACCAATAAGAGGCAACTCTTTTGTGTTGTTGCCATTTATCTTATTCGATAACCTACCTGACTTCACGTATAAACATTGTCACATTTACAGGCCTATTCTCACTGTTGCCGGTAAAGTAAGTTTTGTTACTTTTCTTTAGCACCCGAACTTGAATTTGGTATTTTGGCGTACTGGTTACAATGTTTGAAAAGAATTTGGCAGCACTGCTTTTTCGTCCATGTGGTGACAGTGAACTCAGACTCAGAATATGAAATAGTAACAAAATTTACTTTGGTATTAAAATTTACCATTCAGAAGAATAGGCTTGTTACGGCTTTTCGTTAATATTTTTTTTTCCGGCTCGTATCTACACTTTTGACTACATTATTAACCTCTAATAAGCACATGAATTTACTGCCCTAAAATTTACTAATCGATAGGGTCAATAAAGATGAGTTTGAGACTACCAGACCGTTGCATTGTTTTTCAGGCAGAACTTATTGCAATCGTGGAGCCGCTAAATTGCTATTCAAATCTACGGTCACAAGGCAATCGATCAAGCCATGAGATCTCTAAACTGTAACTAAACCACGCCAAAAATGCTAAAATGTAAAAGTACTCGGAACAGGCTCACGAACAAATGCAATGCGGCCATGAACTCTGTGAAGGGGTGTATCTTTGCCACGTCAAAATACATGCTGAAACTGGACGCTAATTAAGCAAACACCAAATGCCTGAATGATGTTCGTCGCATCTGTAAGGACAAAGAGGAGGAAGAATCTGTAGAGCACTGTTTCTGAGAATGTTCAGCCTTAATTGACACTCAGCAAAAGTTCGTTGGAAAATACTCTATCACTAGTTCCGCTGAGATAAGAGTAGCTCAACTAATATAAGCATTTTGTATCTTTGTAAGACACGCTAAACCGTTTGCAAATTTGAGAAAATTACAGAAAGCTCAGGATATTATTACCATGGGCCTATAGGAATATGCAACAAAAAAATATGATGTTTGTTTAACTAAAACACAAAATAAAAAATCCGAATCGGACTGAGTTTCATAGATTTAGCTACCCCCTTCGTCGCTCTGACTTCAATACCGGCTCTTGGAAAGCTGTTTAATTAAGAAATGGTGCTGTTCTTGATGATACATTTAATATTTGCGAAGAGCATTATTTAAATTAATCTTTGCGCTTATGGATTTTGTTATGATATTTCGAATGAATGAAACTCCAAAAACAATCGGACAAGTAACAATTTCGTTTTGAGATTGAATAGAAGACTACTCATTTATACTCCACCGGAGATTTATGATTCGACTGACTTTTCTGCTCATTGCTCGTTTCTATTTATTGCTTTCGACTGAGCACTAAAACTAACGATTCTCAAATTGCTCACAGTATTCAAAATGATCTTCCTTCGAAGACAAGTGATTCCTAATAGATATAAATTTTACAAATAAATAAAGAAAATTTGTTTGATTAGTTTTTGTGTTTCATATAGAGGCGGCAGCGTATATTTAGTGATTCGCATTAAGATTGACCCCCTACAAGTGAGGAATTTCGCTCGCAGAAATTTGTTTTTGCCGATTCGGCTTTTGTTTAAGGGCGAATCACAAATAGAAAAAAGATTTAAGTGCTGAAAAATTAAGTATAATTATCAACTCATGGCATATTTACTATAATATACTAATGTCCTTTCCTAAAAAAAAATTTCTGAAAAAAAATTTGGTTTCTTGAAATTCGCTCAAGGTTCTCCGAAACATTTGAGCCTTCCTAAAAATCAGCTGGACAAAATATACCCACGTCGATTGGCTTAAGCTTTTACTTTATGGCATGTCCTACATTCAATACTGTTATAAGCTTTACCCCGAAAAAATCAATTATGTTCAGTTTAAGAGCTGAAAAACGTGATTGTTTACTGTTTTGAAATCTTTTATTTAACATTTACCTAATAATAATTAAAATATTTACTATTTTTGTAAAAAATAAACTTAATCCAACTATGCATATCTTATACCTACTAGTGTTTTTTTGTCTTTAAATATACTAGTTCTAAATAAAGAGAACTTAGTTTACATCTTATTTAGAACTATAAGTCTTAATTACTTCTCCTTCCGCTCCCATGGCCATCATAGTTGAACTTTTCCAGATGTAGTAGAAATACCTTCGACCTGAGCAGCCTGCTGTTCCGCCTTCTCGCGCTCTATCTTTTGAAAAATTTGCTCTTGCTGTGCGGGAGTCATCTTCTTCCATATAAGCAAACGCAGGATAACACTTTTTAAATATGTGCAAAATTTCCGCTGCTTGACAAGTGTACGCAAATCTTCAAATTCCGTGGTGGAAATATTCATCTCCGTTTTAGATATCAGTCTATTGGTAATGAACAATTTAGACTGTGATAGACTCAAACAGTGATTAACTTCTTCGCCACCAGCCTTCAATTTCATGCGGTGCTCGTACAGCATGTAACCCAGTGTAGCCTCTGGTGTGGGATCTATCATTTCCTCTGGAGTTATTTCGATTACTGTAGGCTTAGACATTTTCCACAATAAAATTTTGCCAAAATTTAATTAAAAAACTTTCAGAAGTCTTTGGTGTGGACTGTTCAGCGCAGACTTTAAACGTATAATGATGCTGACTGAGACTGTTGGCCTGCATTTTATAGGAAACGGCAAAGGTCTTCGTATCCTTATGACGCTAATGCATATATATATATATATATATGTGTGTGTGTGGGTGTGTAAGCGGGACAGCAGGTAGAATTACGAATTTGTGTTTACGATGTTGCGTCTATTGTTAAAACTGTTTATTTATTTGGTTTCTATTAGAATGAGAAAAAGATCAACGCTGGCACAGAGAGGGAGAATGAGAGAGAAAGAGGAAATATGTGATTTTGAGGAGATAGAATGAGTGAGAGCTGCAGCGGAAACAGAACTCCGTAAATCGAAAGAGAGAAAATATGTAACATGAATGATATTCAATGAAAGAGAGCACAGAGAGAACACAGTTTAGTCAAAGATAATATGATACGAAACTTTTTATTTCATGAAAGCGGCCAAAAATCCCCATTTATTATAACATTTCTGCACAGTGGAAAATTACTTCTTTAGATTTTTGGGTATATTTTGGGTATTTAATAACAAACAAATGACGTCGATAATTGCAACTTCACTAAAATATTTCGTTAAGAAACAATCCAATATTTAATTATTTTTATTGATATAGTGGTAGTGGTGCATTTTGCACATCAGATGTTGAGTTTTCCTCGATCTGATACTCCTACCAATATTGTGTGAGATGGGGGAACGCTCTCAGCTGCAATTTGAGTGATTTTGAGTAAGTTTCGTATTTAGTCATCTTTGGTAGGTCTGGTTTGTATATAACGTCTTCGTCAGTCTTCTGCTGCAACTATCTACCCATTTTACTTACCTTCCGTCCATAACAGCCGACTGGAAGAGCGAGACACATACACGAACTATCAACGCTGCTGAGAGCGGCGAAATGTTGCCAGCTGCCAGTGTTTGCACATTTTTTAACAAATTTATAATTTTCGTTATGAAATTTCATAATTTATATGTTGGAATATAAAAGCTAATCAAATATACATGGTCTATATGGTAATAAATAATTAGTTACGCACTTAAGTTTTATTTCTTTTGAAAAAAAACTACGTATTATCTTCGATTATTTAATACTAGTTAAAAAAAGTCAATACTGGCAACCTTGTATGGCAACATTGCATGGCAACCTTGTATGGCAACGATAATCGATATTTAATCCAAAAATTAATTAGTATTTAAAAGAATTTAATCAAATATCTTTTATATAATTTATATATAAATAAATAATTATAATTACCATTAATTTTATCTTTAAGGAAATATTAGTAAAAATTAGATATAAATAAGTATATAAAAATCATATAATTTTTTTTAATATCATAAAATATTCACATAATGTTGCAATAATTAAAGGTGTTGATCGTTATATTTAAAATATAATTTATATCATTTTAGGCCTCGATGTTTGTTTCTTGCCCAAAATCTAGCTGACTGAAGCATTTTTCATCACATTCGTTATATGTGGATATATACAATATATACATTCTATTATATATAATTATATTTTCATTATCTTAAGCTCATTAAATTTTTTATTGTTTTTCATTTCAGACTTTGTCGTGAGATCTCATTCCAATTCCGGACACGCCTACCACATGGCCTACTCGTCTATCATAATGTTAAGAATCCAGATCGTATTGATCTAGACCCATATGCCCTTTACGTTATTGTGGAGAAGGGTCAATTAAAGGTTGTGCATGTCTTTGGAAAACATTCGACGAGTGTAACTGTGGGCGAAGGACTTAATCGTGATGAATGGCATAGTGTGATGGTAAGAAAGTAATTTACCCTTTAATTCAGGCTTTGAAGTTGTTTATGGAGGGTAAGTGGCTTTTGGCCATGATTACTTTAAATTATGTTCAGATATTTAACAAAATTTTTATCGCTCGTGACGAATCGCTTCAGAAATGATTCGGCTTTGTCAAATTTCAAAAGTGTTTCCCTTGTGGTAATTCAGTCAATCAAAAGATTTTGCGTTAATTCATCTCTTATTCAAACACAGAGTATCTTTGAGTGGACAGCGTGTCCTAAAGGATTCCAAACTGTCAAGGGGATGATGTCTTACGCCTCCGCTATCTTCAACGCCGGCCTTGCTTCACCAGTTACAGAATTTCATTGGCATTTTAAGTTAATTTGCCAGAACGAGGTCTATCTATATCCAAGATCTTTTTTCTTGGACTAGCTACTACTCCAATTTGTAGTGAGTACCTTTATACCTACAAGTTATTTTCAGCCGCCTCCGAACTGCTAATGGGTTTCTATGACAAGATTTTTTAATTTCATGCCAGAGGGGCGCACATTATCCGTCTACCCATTGACGCGCGGCGATTACGTCGCAGGTAGATTTATAAAATCATCATGTCATAAAGGGTAATCCATTTCGAGTTTACCTACTTTAAAAAAAAAAAACACAGAAAATTCAAATTTAATACGCAATGTTTATTATTATTCAAAAGAACATTCTTTGGCATTTATTTTTTGAAAAATATCTCTTTCAAATGTTGGCCGCATCTATGTCTCAGATGGTTCATCTGTTGAATCCAATTTTCGATGACTCGTTCGAGCATTTCGACTGGTAACTGACAAATGGCACGCATGATGTTTCCAACCGATACCAGAATCGAAGCGAGATCGTCCACATAGACTTTGGACTTTACATATCCACACAGGAAAAGGTCTAACGGTGTAGTATCACACCATTTTGTTGGCCAATCGATCGCCCCAAAACGTGAAATTATCTGCTTACCGAAGTGTTCTCTCAATAAAACCATGGTGAAGCCTAATGTTGACTTGTTGAAGCCTAATGTTGCGGAGATCACGAGCTTCAATATCCGGCATCAAATAGTCGATTATCATGGCGCGATAATGGACGCCATTGACGGCTATATTCTCACCGGCATCATTTTTGAAGAAATGTGAACTGATGATTCCACCGGTCCACAAACCGTTGTGGTTTTGTGGATGAAATGGTACCTCTTGGATCTTCGTCCTAAATGCGACCATTTTTCTTGTTAACATACGCATTGAGCCAGAAATGTACCTCATCGCTGAACAAAATTTTTGTCGAAAACGTCGGATATTCTTGGAACTTTTCAAGAGCCCATAGATCGAAGCGATGTCGCTTGGGAAAGTCGAGCGGCTTCAGTTCTTACTCAGACTGATTTTGTACGCTTTCAATTTAAGATCTCTGCGTTAATTGATGCGTACGGCAAATATTGTTCTATTACGAATATTGGGTTGGGAAATATGGGTGTTGGTATTGCGAACAGTACGCCCAGTAGGCCCAGTAGGTATGTTGACCATAAGTTGAGCAAAGCGCGTGAAACACATCCTTTCCAGACCGTGAATCTTCGTTATAAAGTTGAACGATTTGTAGACGTTGTTCTGGAGTAATGCAACTGCAACTACCCTTCTTACCCAAGCTTGACACGACTCACGCGTTATCTGTCAAAACAAAGGCTATTGAAAAAAGTACCTCTACTTGGATCACCTGTTACTCAGTATACTTTTAACAAATGCGGAATGTGGTTATTAATTACGTTCGGTTTGAATGCAATTGCATTTTCATTGGTTTTACCGTTATTTAGCTTTCAGCATTTTTTACTTAGTCCCAAGCACGTCAGCTTTCAAATCAAGGAATATGAAAAGCAAATATAAATGATTGCAATTTAAGAATTTCTTGGCCATTGTTTGGTAGAAAGTACAATAATTCACACCCATGAATATGACACAGAAATGTGCGTGAGTGTCAATGTGTGTGGATTGCACAAACAAGCAATTCAAAGTTACAACGAACCAATAGCACAGCCAAAGATATGTACATATGTATATGTATATATCTACATGTATGCCATCAATAACGATACGAGTACTTCTGTATGGGTTGCACACTTTCCAGAAATGTTGAACGAAACAAAAAAATATGTATATATGCAGGCTTAACCCTTTCTGATGTTACCTCTTGACCACAAATCAATTTCATTTCGTGTCATTCGATTTCATTTATCTTCAAAATTTCACATATTTATGTGCAAGCGTATGTAAGTGCAAAGCGCTCTCATAGCTCACCAGAACGTTACGACGAACAACTCATAGCAGCAGTAAATAATGGTAGTAGAAATATGGTGGTCCTAGGACTATGCGTATTTGTGTGCTTAGATTCGGTCTCAGTTCATTCAAAGCAAACTAATATCTCTTCTTTGTTGCCATCGATCAATGTAGGTGCGCATCGATGTCCATGGCGCAAGATTGATTGCACGCGTTGACAACAGTCAAGAGGAAGTTTACCTAAAGGGCTTGAACCATGACACAAACTATGGCGTATCGACGAATCTACCATCGGTGGTGTTGGTCGGCGGTGAGTATTTGTTATTTTGTATTGGAAAGCAATAGACGTTAATTACAATGAAATACGTACATACATATATGCAAAGGGATAGTATTTTCACATAAGATTTATGCAGAAATTCAGATAAAGTGACACAATTGGCATTCAAATTAACTTATGGAATTCTCACAAATATTTCGCATTATTTATACACATACATACAAATATCGCTCGTAAAGTGGTTGAATCTGTTTTGAAAAAAATTTAAATATTTACGTACACCCCACCACCTAAATTGGTGTAGACACCGCCAGGCCTTTCAATGGAGGTCCTCTGTATTCACCAGCGGATATGGTCCATACGAGTGACATAACCTCACCACCTCTGCTACTGCTTCATTGTTCACTGAACTATATCAATGTCGCCTTGTTCTATCTGATCGATATTTGCTGTCATCCAACGCAAAGGACCATAAATATTCTGTAAAACCTCTCTCTCCAAAACTCCTAAAGCCAACTCATCACATATTGTCCATGGTTCTGCACCAAACAATGGCATAAGAATAATGAATGGTTTGTTGAGTTTGTTCTTTATTTGCCAACTCAGTTCAAAGTAGCATCTTTTGGCAAGAGTAATTCAGCTTTGGATCTACGAAGAAACTAATGCATGCACTTCGTGAGTATTTCTCAACCCACACAGGCATAGCTCAACCCACATGCCATCGAATCCGACCTCTTTGATGTTCTTTTGACGCACATTATTCGAGTTTCATCCTTGTCCTGCGTTTATGCCATTGTCTTCGATTGGGTCCACTACAAGTAGTTTTGTTGGCGTATAGATTCTCGACGTCTAACCTCTTCATTATGCATTTATAACTGCACAGATAGGCTTGTGTATCTTGAGTGGAGTTGAGTTAATGCAGCTCCCGGTCTCCACCATCACACTTAGATTAATAGGCCCATTGTGATACCGCTAAGACATCTGTCTTCACTTTCTCAAATAATCGAACCATTTCGTGTGCCATATAAAGGCAACGATATTTCCAGTATTCGGTGACGCCAACTCAGTGAGACAGTCTGTGTCGCGCAGATGTCAAGGTGGGACAGAGTTAGCGCTTAATGAACCGGTCTAGAAGGATAAGATGCGTTGATTTTTCGCGTCCAAGTTTTGGATGTGATCTTGTTTAACCATCTTGACTCAGCTTCACTGATAAATCCCAGTTTAAGTATGTACACTGCCTTGAGCAAAAGCAAACCAGCATCTTTTACAAGCTTTATCGTAGATAAGAGAGATCCTTCCCTTTCTAGTTCGTAAGTCGTTGAGATTTTTTGAGAGACTTTCTACAGTTTATGGCCACTTTTGACGTGGGTTCTTTAGTAAATTGTAACCGACTGTCCTGCTGCCGATTTGTGCGACCACAACGCTGTACGGAAGAATAAATTCCGCAATCCACATTCCCATCAAGCTTCGAATCATATGAGAATGTGGCTATTGCTCTCTGGTCGGGGGTGTTGGTGTTTTCTCACACGGCTAATCAGCGTGTTTGCTGTTACGCACCGCGGCAGTGACGATAGAACTTCACCTTTAGATGCCCCTTGTTGTGTGCCTGGTGACGCTAACGTTGCCCATCTCTACGAGATTCACTATGGGCTGTTGGACACCCATCTCATGGAGGGCATCTATTGCGAAGGCAGAAAGAATGTTGTTGAAAGCCCCCTCGATATCGAGGAAAATACCAAGTGTATACTCTTTCACGGCAAGTCCCTTCTCGATGCGCCCAACTATGTCATGTAGGGATGTATCATCTGTGGAACATCACGGAAAGTGGGTGCTCATGAGTATAATCACCATTTTTTCATAAGATATCGACCATTCAACATTTGATTTGTGGATGTAATTTGGGATTGCGGAGCTCTTGGAGAGAACTTTCCGAAGTCTATTGCCTTCCGCCTTTCCATCGATGTTACTGCAGAAGGCCTTCAAAAATTTTCTCTTTGGCCTCAAAAGCGGTGTTACAGACTTTTGTTACAAATTCTAATGCTTCATCAATTTTCGACGATGAGTCAAGCTCACCGAGAGAAACAGACCCTGGACTAGATGTCCCCGCTTCATTAGGTTTTAACGATAAGCCAAGGATGTTGTAGGGACTTTTTCCTAAAAGTCGTCCAGTCAGTCTTTTTTCTCTTCCTGCTTGTGTATCTTGGTCTGAATCGATATTCGAACCTTGGAATGTATGCATATATTTTACACTGGATACATGGATGGAATCTAATCTGCAAAGAATTTATTTCGTGCCCCCGCGAAGTCGATCAGCCTCAATCCAATCGGAAATGTTCGGTCAAATTAACTGAATCTACGGGCTTCTGAACCAAAGATATCTTCTTTGTCCAACCTGGCGTTAAAGTCGCCAAGCCAATTCAATTACGTTGAGGGACCACATTCGTATGTGTGAGACATCGTCCTATTCTTCCTACGGCGTGTGGGCGCAAATCAGCGCTATGTCGGAGAACTTCCCTTTGATGGATGAATGCTAGCACTCGACTGCGACTTGCGATAGCAAGTTTTTAGTTCGTCTGTAAAGCCATTATAGTAGATTTCTCAAGAATCTACATTCTTCCATCCGTGTCCCATTTTTGAACTTCTTAGATAGCCGCTAGGTTAGCCTTTAATCATACGAGGACAACTGAATTTCATCATATTCTCAAATTATCTTCCTTTAAACGCTTCAAATGATGCTCTTTTGTTTTTTTCCATTACAAAAGTTGCTTTAGGTGCTGGGTCCTAAGTCCTACATATAATATAATCACAGAGTTGTTCGCTCTCACATTTTAGCTCGCTTTCAAAAGGGTGCTGTTGGAGTATTCCTGGTCTGAAACGGGAAGGCTTGAGCTGCTCAACCCATATGCGAAAGAATCAGTCAAAAACTTTCCTAACTTGCTTGAACTTCTCTGCACAGGACCCCATTCTCCATTGCATATTATACTGGTGTACTGATGTGAACGTTAGTCTTAGCTAACGATGCATGATGATAGAAAAGAACACACACAAAAAATACCTTTATTAGTTTTTCATTAAAATGATTCATTTATTCCTCACTTTAAAGTAATTTTTTAATTAACGAACTTTTGCTTGCTAAAATTTGAATTTCTGCAGGTGAAACTCGCTCTTTTTGCATATAAAACATATGTAGGTATTGAACCGCTTTGTTTATAACACATTTTTTCTGCTTTTACATGTTAATTAATCTTCATTACGGCCACGGCACTATGGGATATGCCACCACCAAAACAACAACAATAACAACAACAACAATCATGCAAAACACACACAAACTGAAATTTGATCGAAAATAACATTGGCTTAAAACGCTGGCAACTTTGTAAATCTCCACAACCACCAACAAAAACTGCCAAAAACCACAACAAACCAAACACAAAAACATAATAACCTGCTGTGTTTTTTTTTCGGTACTGATCGACTATGAAAACACCAACGCCACATGCATATGCACACACACGGCGTATACGTAACACTCACGTGCATATGATGTCGGGAAACACACATGCACACACACACATACACATACACCATGTAATTTATGCTGCAGGCCTTTCATCGGAGGAGAAACTGCATGGCGTTAAGTATATCATTGAGTCATTTGTTGGTTGCATTCGAAATGTGGTTTTGAGTTCGGGTAAAGCAGCATCCGATTTACTGCCCATCACACCACTGGTGGCCACCAAGCATGAGAATGTCAACGAAGGTTGCGCCGACAAATGCTATTCCAGACACAATTTGTGTTTTGTGGGCTCCCGTTGTATTAATCACTACTACGACATCTCTTGCGATTGCTTTGGCAGTCAGTATGAGGGCGAGCATTGCGATATTTTCAGTAAGTATTTATCTGAACTATTGTTTTTCCGTTTCCCCAAAAGCAAATACCCTTAATTATAAGCAAAAAGTTTCTTACTGAGAGTTTACTCTGCTGTACTCAAGATAAACAGTTCACAAATTAAGATATTTTTGCACTTGCTTATCGTCTATGATATTAGGGTATGACGATTTCATAACCTAAAAATGAAAAACGGAATTTTTTTCATTGTTGTGAAAAGGTGCTTAAATTGAGAGGTATTGTTTTTTTATTTTATTTTTAATTAATTAACTTATAAAGTTTTATTCAAGGCGAATTTAACAAGGTGGAGTTACTAAGGCAGCGAATTCAACTTTTTTCATTTAATTAATTCGCTTCAGTGTAAAGGAAGTTAAAATGTTTTTTTATGTTTTGTAGGTTTGTTTACAATTTAATTTTTTTTTATTTTAATTTTAAATTTCTTATTGTGTAGCTGGAAATTTTCATATGAGATTTGTGGATTTTCCCAAATAAAAGAATGTGTTCCGATTTTGATTTGAGTTGAATTGATGCGGCTATTAACACCAACGCACTTCTGACAATAAGCCCATTTAGATACCGTTGTTGTGAGGCTTTTATCTTCACTTTCTCAAATGTGCGAACCATTTCGTGTACATTACAAAAGCAACGAAATTGCTAATTTTCGCTGATAGCTTCGTGCGACAGACAATAAAGTGTTAGTGTCCTATAGAATCTGCTTTCTGTGACAAGAATCAGTACATTGAAAGCTTATTTTTGAATGAAGCCATAGCTGTCTGGCCACGGTCTGGTAGTGTTTGCATTTTGGACAAAGGCAAGTCTTAGCATATTCTTTGCCATAACAAAGTTAAGCCTGCATCTCACAAGTTCGTCTGCCGTGCAATTGCTTGGAGTGTCCGGGCGCCCAAACTGTGTTGCATTTAGCAAAGAAATTTTTTTAGATTGCCACTACATTTTATAGCCACTTTAGATGTGATACTGTTACACTGTAGAGATATGATGGCAGCTTGCCTATCGGAATCTATCGCATTTGATATTCCTGCTATTTTATTACTGAGTATCGAGCTTTGAGCCGCCTGTAAATATGAGTATGGCATGTTGATCGAGGGCGTTTGTTTTCAACAATTCACTCCTATTTTTGATTCCTCTCGAAGCAATCCGTAGGGCTTTTTATGTACATAGAAATCAGAGTTCTATTCCAAATTCCACAGAATGAAGGATCTACATCTATCTGGATTTGTGTTTGCCAAAGAAATTTAGAAAAGGGGTTTAGTATGCATATACCACATTTAAAATAAAAATTAAGTTTATTAACATATCCTTCCAATGTTAATTTAAAATGAAAATTACGTTTTTTAACATATCCTTCCAATTTTAACTTTGAATAAATAATAATTATAATGAATTATCTAATGTACAACTGTCTGCATAGCGTTACAAGACTTTAAAGGTGTGCTGTAAGTCTAGTAATCTCTTATGACCTTTAGCAATTACAGAACTTTCTCCTTTGCATATTTCGTGTAATGTGACTGAGTCTTATAGCCATTGCTAAAGAAGTATCTATATTAATATACATTACTTGCCATAGCTTATAGAACTCCCTTCCGAATACATGTTCTTCAAGAATTCCCTAACATCCCATAAAATAAAACTACTTTACTGTTACAGGCCTATTCTCACTGTTACCGGCAACGTAAATTTTGTTACTTTTCTTTAACACCCGAAATTGAATTTGGTATTCTGGCGAACTGGTTACAATGCATGAAAAAAATATGGCAGCACTGCTTTTTTCGTCCATGTCAAATTACATTTGCCAGTTGATAAAGTAAAAAGAAAAACATTCACATCGAAATGGAAGACAGTGCACAAAAAAATTAAAAAGTTTTATTAATTTGTTTATTAAATAATAAATATTTGAACTTAATTATAGAAAATATGCATGGACAACAAGAAAAGCTGAATGAAAACGTTATCTTACAAGTTAAAGGACTATTTTTTAGTCTCGAAAACTTCTTAAATTACGGCATTTTGCACTTTTTTCTTCATCTTCAATGAATTCCAGGCCTAAAATGTGCCTACACATTTTGGGTTTTATTTGTTCTCAAATTTACAACACAAAATCAAACAGCAGATAATTTTGTTACCTCCTATTTCGCTGATAACAAAATTTACAGGGTAACAGTGAGCTCAGAATACGAAATGGTAACAAAATTTACTGAATGGTAGATTTTAATAACTAAATTTTGTTACCTCGACAGGACTGTTAATGTCATTTGAATAAGTAAACTTTGATTTCCAAGCTAATATTTTCTGACTTGTTTTGAATTATGAATTGAATTTGACCAAAGCGAATTGTATGAATTTGTCATGAGTTAGACAATTTTTACACTGAAAACAAAAACAAAATACACGGTAATTGCTGTTTTTGTTCTTCTGCTCTCACCTTTATGAATTCGCCTTGGTCTTGATCATGGAACAATAATTTCAAGGTAATTTCATTCTCTTTTCGCAGTCGGCTTTTTTGCGCTACCATCCTCACTTGCAGAAAATCTACCCTTTTTTAAATAAAAATTAATTAATTATTAATGTCTAAACGTCAAAAATACGTATTATATTGTTTTTTTTTATTCCAATCCCTAATAGTGGACTTATATATGCCTTTCGTGATTATTGTATGACTTTAGTAAGTTGTTAGAAAGTATCACAACTTTCAGGAGTTCACTGAACTTGCTATATCTACCTGCACGATTGAATGCAGATCAAAATTTTTGTACGAAGGCAGCATATTATTTAACAATTGTTTTTGGTAGAGTCATTTAAGTTGACTACATTTTCCTCTGCTGGCCCGTTGTGATGCCTCTGTTAGAACTGTGAAGGAGATTCCACTCACCTTTACAGATGCTCAAATCGCTTGGTATATTTTATGAAGTTTAGAAGTTTAATGATGCCTACAGATGCAAAGATATGACAGGCAATCAAAGAAAAAGTTGTTGAAAAAACGATGACGGGAGACGTTTGACAAGCAGCCCATCTCTCTTTTATGATTCCCCATAATGCAGTGCTCGGTTAAGCTTATGGAAGTACTCTTTAGAAGAAGTAAAGAATTAGTTCTGTTCACTTCAATCAATGACCAGATTTGTGTCCTAGTGAAGGCCAACAGCAGATGAGAGAGTGGAACCACGTGCAATTGGTCGCAGTGAACAAAACTAAGTCTTTACTCCTTCTAAACAGGATATCTATAAGCGTAACAACCGCCATATTAAACGGACACTGTATTGTGGGGACTCATGGTAGAAGAATGGGCTGTTTCTCAAACAACTTTTCTTTCACTGCCCAGTTCTAAGTGCTTTCCGTTATTGATTTCTCTTATCTCACGAACTTTGTAAATTAAACGAAGTTTTTAGAGTATCTGGAAAAGTGAGAGGAACCTTCTTCACAGAACCAACATCGATCAACTGGCCAACTGACTCCAGATTTCCAAATATCAATATATTTAGCGGTTAGTTTAAGCTTTTAACATAATTAAGAGATTTATATTGAACTTGCAATGCTAAAAAACCTACAATTATTAAAAAAATATTCTGTCTGCCTACAAAATTTCCTTGGAACAACTCCAAAACTATGAGACGGTCCAAATTCAGTCAGCTCTTGCCTTTCTGATACTTTGCTAGGATTTTCCAAAGGAAGACCTGAATTCTATGAGATTCGATATCAGGGGATGCAAAATTTAAAAAGACGTGATTTTCTCCACATATTTTTTTACTTAAAAATAGCAGATTTTTTTTTAGAGACAAGAAACATGTTTAACGTCAGATAATTGTGAAGCCGACTGGGAAGAGAGAATGAAACTACCTTTTAATTATTATATCATGGTTTTGTCCATTATAAAGTAAGTAAACAATTTGACAAACTCATCCTCATTTATAGGAACCGGTTCCGCCTAATATACAGCACACTGATCCGGTAAACCAAAAGCTTCTTTATACCAAAATCCCTTGAGCAGACTACGCCACCGGTCCTGTTATATAGTTTTTACTCATCTGCAACAATTAGTCGAGTCTGTATTTACTGGTGCTATCAAACACCTTTTAAATATATCTTTCTGGCAGATGAAATCTTTTTATGGCTTATCAGTTTCCACTCAGAGACCTTTTTTAGCACAATTGCATTTTGGCACGTATCTGTTATTCCGAGTTTTTTGATCAGCTTAATTTTTGTCCAGAATGAGTGTCAGATATTCTACCGACACAGGAGCTGTTCGTCTGCAAAAAGTTCGACTACTAGAGCGCCATTCACTGTAATACATTTCAGGAATGTGTTAATGTGTTGACGGACTCTCGGTCAAAGGCGTTTAAAGCCTATCGGTGAGTTCTCCCATTCAGCAGTTGCTGTTGGTGGTCCTTGAGGTCGAGCACTCCGTTCCTGATGTATCTGTCTGATGGTTCATCTGTTGAGATTACCCCATATACTGCCGGCTAACGCGGACTGCAGGCTGTCGATTGGGACTCTCAATAACTTTGGGTTGTTTATATTCGAAATTTTTACGCCATAGACATTCACATCCAGTTCAAAACTGGTAAAGATGGTTGCCGAGGATTTTGCTGGTTGGAGTTGTAATTGTCTCGCAGGGAAGAAATGGGAAAGGTCGCCGAGAAAGCAGTTCACTTTTGAGCAAATGTCATCAAAATCTTGACCAGACGCCAATATCGAGCAATCATCAGCAAATGAGATCAGCGTTCCTCTGCCGACATGACTAAGTGCCGATACCCTTTCAAAATCACACCTCACGACATTATATCCGGGCAGACGATATCGGATTTATTGGACTCAAATCCTTAGGTTCGATATGCGTTCAAATAGTTAATGGATAAATTTAAAAAAATCATTGTTGTTGGTATTAAGTATGAAACCCACCTGGTACAGCCCTGATGAGATAAACAAATGTGGCGTTTGATTGTTTTGCTCTCAAGAGAGCCACTGACTGATGACTTTTTTTTTTTGAAAAAATGTCATGAAAAAAATAAAGCATAAAAAACAGTTAGTTTAAATACAAATCAGTTCGAAAACAAATAAATTTCCATTTCCAAAATAATATCAAATCATAAATTTCTTAACGCAACCATAATTTCGATTCCACATCCCCATCCAGCCGCATGTTAGAACTCGACGCAGTCGTATCCATTCCTCAATAGCAAATTTGGAATAAAAAAAACTTCACCGAAATCATTCTTTAAAATCTGCAAGCGCAAATATTTTCGAATGCAACTCATCCATCATAAATCAGCACACACAATGGGCAGGAAAACCCGTAGTCTATTCCGTGCCTCGTATCATCAAAAATTAATGTACAAACAACACAAAGAGGCGCTGAGTAAAATTTCCAGTGCCGTCGATATTGGCCCGCCGCTAATCAAGAAAGATGTCTACCTAAACATAAGAGGCATGCGAAGCGATAAGTTCGCCTTGCGACGGATTATCAAGGAGAATATAGAGCTCTTAGAGCGACTTAATCGCATACGGCGTACACACGGCCTAAGCAACAGCTACAACACCCGCAAGCGGATATCACAAACTAAACTACATCATGTGGTACGACGCATCGACCACATTGAGTCGGAAAACGTATTTTTGGGTTGCAGACTTTTGAAAGTGAAGCCGATGTTGTCGAGATCAGGATTAGCAGTATCTGCGAGAAGCAGCAGTGTAAAGTTCGAGAGATCGCCTATTAGTTTGAAGATACGTGAAAAATTACTCATGGATCAATTACTTCATCCAAAGGTGTATTTGGATTTGGAGGTGAAAAACATACGTCCTCTAGGACGAGTAGTCATACAGCTATACACAGAAGCATGCCCCGAAATTGTATTGGAGTTCGCACGTTCATGCTCGGAGAACAAGGTTCATTTGTTCAATTTTATACGCATATTTCCCGGACTGTGGATCGAAGGCGAGATCGCTGTGAAGAATCGTTTGCTGAGTAGACCAAATTTTCAACATGACATAAATATTATAAGACATGAAGCCAATTCGGGTATACTTTCATTTGCTAAACGTTATGTAAATACTGGTTTTCCGCATGGATTATTCAATTTCACTGTTAGCTTCAAGCCAATGCCCGTGCTGAACGGTGAACGTGTAGCTTTCGGCGAATTGTTAGCGGGTCATCGCGTAATGGCATGCGCACAGGATTATGGCACAAAAAATGGCAAAGTAAAAAAGCAAATACTCGTCGTGCACAGTGGCCTGAAAGCGTATCTGGGCGTCTGACATTTAAAAACGATGTAAAATTGTACCATTCTTTGTGATATTTTCTAGTTCATTAAAAGAGAAGAGAAAAAATACTATTTTTATATGAGTTTGAGTAAAAAAATACAAATAAAGAGTGACCCATTTCGAGATTATCCACCCTTTTAAGGAAAAAAAACGAAATAATTTCGAATTTCATAGGAAATGTTTATTATTACTCGAAAGAAAATTCTTTGACATTTCTTTTTTGAAGATTATCTTTTTCAAAAGTTTAGCCGCGGCTACGTCTCAGATGATCCATCTGTTGAGTCCATTTTTCGATTACTTGTTCTAGCATTTCGACTAGTAACTGGCAAATGACATGCATGATGTTTTGCTCCAAGGCCTGAATCGAAGCAGGATTGTCTGCATAGACTTTAGACTTTACATATCCCCACACGAAAAAGTCGAATGATATCACATGATCTTAGTGCCCAATCGGCTGACCCAAAACGCCAAATTATTTACTCCCCGAAGTGTTCTCTCAATAAATTCATTTATTGATGCGATGTGTGTGAAGTGGCGCCGTCTTTGAAAGCATTTTTAAGACGTAGGTCTTCTATGATGACACGATACGACTCAAGCTTGATCTGTCAAAAAAAAATGGCTATTGGAAAAGGTACCTTTACGTGGATTACCCGTTATAAAGTCGGTATTGATTTCACCTTTTAAAAAGACGATCAAAAGGCTGGCGGAGAAAATAACAGCCCACCTTTATTGGGTGCCATCGAACAACATATGTATGTAAATGTGTCGAAAGCAGAGAGGAGAACAAAATGTAACTATGAATATACCTATCACATTTAGAGCAAACAAGCTTCGCGAGTAAGGGCCGCAGTTTAGCGAAAAATCATATATATACAGCTACAGAATATCTGAGTGTTTGATCGTGGATATGTAGAAAAAAAGGAAAAAAATGAAAAAACAATAAGTGAACCCGGCACATATGTGGCTTAATGGGATTATCCTTTGAGCGTGCCTTGGACATTCCAAGTTCGAATTCAATTCAAATAAGGGTGTCTGGAAAAAACGTCTGATAAGGTTTCCAAAAGAACAGCCATGACTTCTACCGTCTAAATTGTTATTGTAAATTTTCTCACCATCCCTGAAGGTATAGAATCTGAAGCAGCTCAGTAAAATTAAATAATCTAACAGTACAATGAAATTGAATGAATCTAATGTACAAAATATTTGACGTGAATCATTACCAACTCCTTACTAACGACACACCAGGCAAACTTGGCATAGCCAGTTTTTGCCTTCGCATAAGGTATGGTTAATGCCATTAAATTAGGAAATTCCGGGAATGCGAGGAGATAACAGAGAAAGGAATAAGTGTTCAGCGCTCGATAGTGAACTCAACGCTCAATTTAATTTGATATAAAATTGGAGCTCAATGTCCGCGAAGGGACTTTTGGCCGAGCTGATCCTCCAATTTGTGGTTTTGTGTAGAAACGGAGGAATCTACAGTTTATTCTAAGCCCCCTCCAAATGGCTCATGGATTTTCTTGAAGAGCTTTTATTTCATGTCAGACGGAAATACGCTCAGAAGGCTTGACATTCCCGCTGCGGGACGACCACAATAAGAAGGATTAATTTTCTATATATTATGAGTTTTGGTTGAATCAGAACTCGAACCCTGGATGTGTATATTTAAAATTCAAGTATTTAATATTTTTCCAACCGAGTAAAGTTGACTTAATTTTAACTTTCTATTCAAATGAATGTTCTATAATTGTGGCTGTAGGTCGCGCCAGCACTCAAACCCATGAATTTTCTCTTGCCGCCACGATGGCAACCTTATATTTACCGTTATGTACTAATAATATGTTTAGTATATATTAAATTTAACTAAACCTCCTCTCATTATTATGTAATAAATCCAATTAATACATATTTTTCTTTTCTTTCAACACACGCAGCGGCAACAATCATGACACTCCGTGGCTCCAGCTACGTCTCGTATCGCATTTATGACTGGAAAGATCGTGTACATTCATCCAACACCCGCATCAGTCTCATGTTCCGCACCCAATTCGATGATTCAGCGCTTTTCTATGCGAGTGGTGAATCTCTCAAGCATCAATACATCGCCGCTTCAATAAAGAATCAATCAATTCATGTGGAAATGGATTTCGGCGATAACGTACTATCAACGGTGCTCACCGACGAGCTAACACGCAGTAATTGGCATAATTTAACCATTCACCATGAACGGCGCACCGTGCGCATCATACTTGATCAGCAAATGAAAATATTAGATGTGCCGGCGACGTCAAGCGGCAATTTGCTCTTTGATCCGGAAATTTACTTTGGCGGCGGTCCGGATTTGCACAAGAAGAAAGGATTGCAATCGCAAAATAATTTCGTTGGCAGTTTAAAATATGTTTATTACAATGACGTGTCGATATTGTATGAGCTGCAGAAGAGTAATCCTAAGGTGCATTATCACGGTAAGTGGAAGTTCAATTGATATTTGTATTACAACCAAATGGTGCACCAATGCACATACTTAACAGTACTCATGGACAAAATATGTGCATTCACAAAATCCAAATCACTTTTAAATTCTAAATGTATTTATTATTATTTTTTCTTTTTGTATTTTTTTGTGTTTAAATCATCTCTGTTTCTTCTATTTCTTAAGCTTCCAAGTTATCAAAATGCGTGTTTACTCTTTACAAAGAAGCACAGAAATTACTTTCTCATCCTTTGCTGGAGGATATTTTATATTTTTTTATTTTCTGAGTCGTCGGTTAGCTCCTACAATTTAAATTTATACAGCAGCCGTAAAAAAAATTTCAAGACTTTCTGCAATTTGTGCTCTGAGTATCGAAGTTCCTAGATGCTTTAGGAGGGTTCTTTATATAGTAGCAAAGCCAGTGTTTCAGTCTTTCACTCGTGCCTTCCCCTACATTCCTTGCATGTTTGGCTGCTACCCTTTCTCCTTTCGTGTGTGACCTACCTACCATAGGACCTACTACAACGATTCCGTTAAGTTATTCCAACTCGCTCTGATCCGTCTTCCAGCTCTCGCTTGAAGGGTAGCCTGATCCTCTATATTTCAGCATTTGAATCCACCTTCTAATTGTGATTCGGCCTTTCCTTCTAGTCGTTTCATAATAAGCCGAATCGGCTTAAACAAAATTCTTTTAGCGAATTATCTCACTTGTAGAGACTTCAATCTTAATTCGAATCACGCTGCCCTCTCTATGTGAAGTAGAACAACGTATCACTTTTTCCTCTCTTGAAATATTGGATGAGTGCATAAGTTCGTGCCCGATTTCGCTGGATGCATATTACATATCGTTGGAAAGGTAACAGTCCGTAAATCAAGCATAAAATAACTTCATTTTGATTTGAGTTGCTTAGTGAAAAGACGAATGGAAGATGGACAACGAAAAAGATCATATGCGTCATATTATGTCATACGAATTCCGCAAAGGAAAAACAGTAGGCGCTGCAACTAAAGATATTCGCGAAGTTTATTTGGACCGTGCTCCAGCACTCCGCACAGTAAAGAAATGGTTCGCGAAATTTCGTTCTGGAGATTTTAACCTCGAAGATCAACCTCGCAGTGGACGGCCTTCTGAGCTTGATGACGATGTTCTAAGGACTTTAGTTGCGAATAACTCACGTATTTCGACGGAAGAGGTTGCCAGTGAATTGAACGTCAACAAATCAACTGCGTTTCGTCGTTTAAAAAAGGTTGGGTACACTTTGAAGCTCGATACATGGGTGCCACATCAGTTGAGTGAAAAAAACAAAGTGGACCGTATGTCAACAGCAATTTCTTTGCTTCGACGGATCAAAAACGAACCTTTTTTGGATCGGCTCGTGACTGGTGATGAAAAATGGATCCTGTACAACAATGTTCAACGCAAAAGAACATGGAAACAGGCACACGAAGGGGCGGAACCGATGTCGAAAGGTGGATTGCATCCGATGAAGGTACTGCTGTGCATTTGGTGGGATATCCGAGGCGTGATCTATTTTGAGCTCTTGCCAGCTGGAGAAACGATCACTGCCAACAAGTATTGTCAGCAATTGGTCGAATTGAAGAAAGCAATTGATGAAAAACGTCCGATTTTGGCCAATCGCAAAGGAGTTCTTTTCCATCATGACAACGCCAGGCCACATGTTGCAAAACCGACCCTGGCCAAACTGAAGGAGATGAATTGGGAAATCATGCCGCATCCCCCATATTCACCCGACATTGCACCTTCTGATTATCATTTGTTTCGATCGCTGCAGAACAATTTGAATGGAAAAAAATTTAAAAATGTGGAAGACGTCAAAAACCACCTTGACACCTTTTTCAACAAGAAACCGTGCGATTTCTATGAATCAGGCATATAAATAAATTGGTTGAACGTTGGGAGTGGATTGCCGAACATGATGGCGAATACATAATTGATTAATAAAAGCGCTTTCTTCAAAAAATTTCAATTTTAGTTTGCACTTGAAATCGGGCACGAACTTATGCACTCATCCAATACTTAGCAGAAAACAATAAACAGAATCAAAGAATAGCAACAAAGAAGAGGGATGCCAGTTTAAGTCAGTAGTAGAGGCATCAAAAAGTGTATTTTTTTCTTAAATCTTTTCAAAATGATCAAAGAATATGTCTTCAAAATTTCAGTAACCAATTCGACTTATCTTAGAACCGAGAGGAGTTTTAGCTGCCGAGCGTCGAGCAGGTTCGAATGATCGGGCAGAACTTTTAGGCGCAATTTCGCTAGTTTTCATTTAGACAAGTCGTAGAAAATGGTTATAGCATAAAGAATATATGTTTGTCTGATCGAAAAAAGTCAAAGTGATCTAACTTCAGTTTTAAATTATCTTCTATTTGAATTAAAAAGTTGAAGTACTATTTAAATGCATTTTTTGCTACGTGACGGAACAAAAAAACAATTGAATCAACGGTTTCAAATGCATCTCACAACCTCTATCATCGGCATCGTTTCACGAGTTCAAACTGCAGGCGCTTCAGAAAACTCATCGCAACATTAGATAACCTCGATATTTTTTGATACTAAAAAATTTTGTTTGAAATTTAAATGTAGTACATTACTGTCTGAAAATTTCCTTTACCTCATTAATTTCCTCCCCTTTAAGAAAAAAATACTAAAAACCGATTTTTCTTTCGGGCGTTAAATCAGACTACCGGATGAAAGTAGTCTTCATTGAACGAAATACATTTTTAAGTCACCTGTTCGTCCTCATCTCCTCCAAGCGAGCTTAGAAACGAAGTAGTACTTTTAAGGGGAGAACCTGGTTTAGAGGGTCAAAAAAATCGATTTTTTGAAACTTATCTCATTCGATTAGAAATATATTCAGAAATATTTCCACAAAATTTTGGAGTCAAATTCCTAATCTTAAAGTTTCTTCAGAAAAACGCAAAATTTGTTATAAACAGTCGTAAAATAAATAATTTTATACATTTCTTCGAATATCTTAGAACTCCTAAGCTACAAAAAAAAGTATTCGTTTTTATGTTTCAGATGAAAACTACGATCGCTATCGTGTCCACAAAATAGACTCTTCGAGTGAGAAGTGCCACAAACAAATACGAATTGTTATTGCTTAACAGTATCAAATAAAGTGAAAGTAATTTTTTTTTTGCAAGATTTGTGTGTCTATGACCTATTTCAAAAGTCTTGAAGGCAACCTAAAACACTGTGCCGAATATCATGCAATTTTCAGCGTTCTGAACCCCCTTAATCGCTTATCATAGGTCTAGAGATTTCAAATATACAATAACCAAACCACTTAGTCTCGCTTCACAAATATTAAAAAATATCTTCAGTGATAGTATCATTTCTTTGTTACCCAAACTTTTTACTAACAAAATCTAACTAAATACAATAAAATTTTGGAAAATACGCAAGCTTTCTAAAGCCGAAAATAGAGTTAGAATGATGAAGGACTGTGAGCAAATCTGTTTTGCCCAATCTGTCAAGCTCAGTTCGGTTCCGATTATTTATTTAGTTCAACAAATTGTGCATATCTTCTATTTCGAAGAAATTGAAAAATAATTTCTATTTTACCTAATTTCTCATATTAGCAGAGCAATATCAACAAAAAAGTATCACTTCCCGGGTAACCTTTTCCGAGTGGTTATTAAAACTGAGCAGTCATATGGGCAATGCTCAACAAATTCTTTCTCTATTTCGCCCTTACAGATTCGACGAAAATCATTCAGGCATTTGGTGTTTGCTTACTTAGCGTCCAGTTTCAGTATGTATTTTGACGTGGCAAAGATACACCCCTTCACAGAGTTCACGGCCGCATTGCATTCGATCGTGAGCCTGTTCCGAGTACTTTTACATTTTAGCATTTTTGGCGTGGTTTAGTTACAGTTTAGAGATCTCATGGCTTGATCGATTGCCTTGTGTGTGTGTAGATTTGAGTAGCAATTTAGCGGCTCCACGATTGTAATAAGTTCTGCCTGAATAACTATGCAACGGTCTGGTAGTCTCAAGCTCATATTTATTGACACTATCGATTTGTGGATTTCACGCCAGAAAATTCATGTTGAAATTATTAGCGGTTCATAATGTGGTCAAAAGTGTGGATATGAGCCAAAGGTTCGAAAATATTAAAAACAAAAATATTGAAGGAAAAAACGTGACAAATTTTATACCTGCTGTGTAACCCTTTTTTCTATAGCTGGCGATTTTCAAAAGAACAAAGAAGTTAGGTAGGTAACCAAATAAGATGAAAGGCAGCAACACAAAAGAGTCAAATTGGGTTATTTATTTGAGTTGAAATCGTTTCAACAATACCCAACTCGGGTAATAGTTTTCAAAGTAAAAAAGTCGTACTTTTGTGAATGGTCCACTGGGAAAAACGAAGGGAAATTCGAAAATGGAACTAAAAGTAAAAGTAAGATCGAGCGTTGTAGTTCATATTAATTACTTCTTTCACTAAATATTCTATATTTATTTACCTAAGATTTTAAGAAAAAACTCTCTTTGTTTTGCTTTTCGCTCAAATATTATACTTTTTTTTTTAAATTTTGACAACTGAGAGCAGTGTTGTAAAGCCAGTTGAAAACAAGTCAGCAGGGCGATCTGTTTTAAAAAAGGAAAATTTACTCATTTTCAAAAAAGTTGTTGTTGCGGCACGCTCCATGAATTGAGAATAGTCCATAACTATTGTACTTGCGCATAAAACCCGTTAAAAAAAAAACAAATCCTGAAATCGAAGTTAACTATGTAAAGTTATATTTTTCAAACAATAAAACAAATTATGTCAATTTAATCTAAGGAGATGTTTTTAATGATGCATATAAAAATAAATTAGTTTTGAATACAAAATGCTTACATGTCTTAACGTGACGAATTTCTCTAATGCATTCAAATGTACCCGAAAAAAAATCTAAAATTATGTTAAAGAGCAACAATAAACAACAATAAACGATCTCGTAAATCTACCTGCTGTCCCGCTTACACACCCACACAAAACACACACACATACACATCATAAGGATACGAAGACCTTTGCCGTTTCCTATAAAATGCAGGCCAACAGTCTCAGTCAGCATCATTCTTCGTTTAAAGTCTGCGCTGAATAGTCTACACCAGAGACTCCTGAAAGTTTTTTTAATTAAATTTTGGCAATATTTTATGCTTGAAAATGTCTAAGCCAACAGTAATCGAAATAACTCCAGAGGAAATGATAGATCCCACACCAGAGGCTACACTGGGTTACATGCTGTTCGAGCATCGCATGAAATTGAAGGCTGGTGGCGAAAAAGTTAATCACTGTTTGAGTCTATCACGGTCTAAATTGTTCATTACCAATAGACTAATATCTAAAACAGAGATGAATATTTCCACAACCGAATTTGAAGATTTGCGTACACTTGTCAAGCAGCGGAAATTTTGCGGTTATTTGAAAGGTATCATCCTACGTTTGCTTATATGGAAAAAGATGACTCCTGCACAGCGAGAGATAACTTTACAATTATAAAGAACGAGAAAAAAGGCTGCTCAAGCCGAAGGAAATTCGAATTCATCCGGAGAAATTCAATTGTGATGACCATGGGAGCGAAAAAAGGGGAATTTAGGTTTAGATTCTATATAAGATTTAAATTGAGTTTATTTTGTATAGTATTAGTAAATTTAAAAATATTTAGGTAAATTTGTTGGTAAACAATAAATTTAAACAAATAAAAGATTACAAAACAGGAAATAATGAGCACAATTTATTTTTGGGTGTCAAGTCCATATGTAATCTAATATGAGCCTTAAAGTAAAATCACAAATCAGCAAGACGCACTCAATTGTACAAGACAGATCGACGCGGGTACATTTCGTCCAGCTGATTTTTTGGAATATTCAAATGTTTCGAAGACCTGAAACGAATTTCATGAAACCAAAAATTATATTATAAATTGTATATCATATTATAGGAAACATACTACGAATTGATAATTATAGTACATAGTTTTCATATATTTGAATCTATCTTCTACTCGTGATTCGCCTTTTTTCCATAGTTGTCTATTTAAAAGATAAATCAGAAAAAAATATTTTTGAGCGAGTTGTCTCACTTGTAGTGGACTTTACTTTTCAACTGCGTACCTATTGGTGTTGATGTTTTGTTGGTGTCAATGTTATGACTGTCAACAATGGCGTTGGAGCCGAATCACGACTGTGATGACTGCTTGTTTGTTTTGCGTTGTCCTTATTCTCTACCAGACCCATTCGCTTTGCTTCCTTAGCCAGTCTGGGGAAAACAAAACTCTCAGCGCAGTTATTGAGGCCAGTGATGTTAATTTCATCGGCGTACCCGAGCAGCTGTCCACTCTTAAAGTAGCTTCTTTATTCAGCCACACACCATAAAAATCACCCTATCTAAAACCTAGTTTGGTATCATGTGGCTCGTAGAGAACCTTCCCTATTCTGATAGAACTTTTGGTGTCGCTTATTGTATAATTTTTGCAGTGATACTAAGTTTAGACATTGGGGCACAGATTCAGTTCCTTTACATTGCAAAAGAGATTGTCAAAGGCGGTTTTGGAATACACGTAGAGGTGGTATGTGTCGAATCTTTTTTCATGGGTCAGACTTAGCGCTTGGTAATTACCTGGTGAAGGGTTGAGTTATCAGGTATTAAGTCACATTGATATGGTCTAATCAATTTGTTGATGGTGGGCTTTAGTCTTTTATCAATACGCTTGTTAGGACCTTATATGCGATGTTAAGATGGCTTATTCCACGGGATCGCCCTTTTTGTGCATCGAGCAGAGCACATTTAGGTTGAAATCGTCGAGTATGCTTTTATGCGACCATATTTGCAAAGAAGCTGATGCAGGCACCTGATCAGTTCCTCACCGCTGTTTTTCAAACGCTCGGCCGGCAATCCATTGGCTCCCGCCACTTTGTTATTTTTCCAGTGGGCGTTTGTTATTCGAACTTCTTTATAGTCGTACAATGAAACATCTGTTCCATCGTCATCTGTTGTGGAATCGGGTTCGCCATCTCCTAATGTTACACTGTCACTGTCATTAAGCAGGCTGCAGAGGTGTTTTGCATTAATCCCTGTTTGCCTAAGATAACTTATTTACTCACGCTGGCATTAAAATTGCCAAGCACGATCTTTACATCGTGGCGGGTGACACGCTCATTAAAGCTCATTAAAGACATCCTTGATGAAATCATCGTTCTCTTCTATCGGAGCGTGGACGCAAATCAACGATATCTTTCGCTTTTGAGCCGAATTGTGGCAAAACGTTCATCCTCTTGGGTACTCATCGACGGAGTCGCTCTCCCACCACAAATCTGACACCAAATTTTGTGCTCTATTATACGCGTCTCCGCACTTCTTGGACGGCGTTGATGTCAGTATTAATCTTACGATAACTTACGGCACCTACCAACTTTAGAAATCAGAGACCCCAGGTGCATGTCCATAAAATATCGTCCTTAATGGGTTTTCGTCCAGAAAAAAGCCCTGAGCATTATCTTTTTTTGTCTAGAGCTCTCCCTATAATTAGGGTTCGTTAGTGAAGTGCAGTCCCAGGGGATCTTTCCTACGTTTAGATGTGTTGCGCTTTTGTTTAGTGGACTGCCTGGAGATTATCTCTAACCTACATCTCTGGAATCTTTTCAAATTTATTAAGGAAGGAATGATGTTAAATTCTTTGAACTCTATGAATTTCAGCGTCTTCGGTAGGAAAAGACAAACTTATTTCAAATGTGAAAATACTTATAAATGCATATAAATGTATGTATATATTATATTATATATGTATTTCAACTGTGTGCGTATGTAGCTAACGGTTATAAGCATCAGCTAAGAGAGCGCTTAAGAGTATTTCATAATGTGAAACACACACCACTCCTTAGTGACCTGAGGTAGATTATCTTTATAGTGATTTATTTTTAATATATACGAGTATATGTAACTAATATTAGTTACGTAACATATTGCTTTGATTATCAGCAACGGAACGCACAGATCAATCATAAGAATGTCTTCTTGCACCCGCTGTTTCTGCTATCATCGCATAAATCAAGCCCTAATTGCACGTAAATACATACGTATACACATACATACATGCACATGTGATATGTTATGTGAGATCATTCTAGCATATAATGAAAATTTTCCTTCGCTACTGTATAATAAACCTACCCACGCACTCATCCTTAAGACACTTACATATATCTCTGTCTCTATGAGCGATTTTTGAATTTGCCAAATAACTACTGTTATTTTCATGTAGGTGTCCTCGAAGCCGAATTCCAAGAGAACGAAGTCAACGTCATACCCATAACTTACCCTTTTGCGACATCTCACATTTGGTGGCCCATAAATCACGCCGAAGAATTTAATATTAAATTCGATTTCCGTAGCAGTCGCACAGCAGCAGTATTGGCATATAGTGATGTGACAACAACATCCGGAAATGGATTTTGGGAGGTAAGTGTACATCCATACATACATACATGCATACATGCATACATTCAACAAAATATTTTATGATTCCTTAGATCGTTTAGAGTGTAGAGAGTGTATGAAAGTGAATTCTTTATGTTGCAGTGAATGAGTGAGTGAGTGAGTGTGCCTATGTGTGTAAGGTGTAAATCAGTTCAGAGTACTTATGTTACGCAACAACAAAAGTTCCTAACCCTTTTAGTTGGAACGAATTCTTAAAAGTTGCATGCATGTGTACATAATTACATATCTGCATAGAAACACACAAACATGCAAGCATCCCAGCGAAAAAAAATTGAGTTCTCAAAGAAAAATATGAACGGAAGATGCAAGTTCTTCCACTCTCATATCTGGCAGTTAATATTTTACCCGAGGCATGGTGCGGTTTATGGAAAACCCTGTACCCTAATCCTGCAACAAATTGAAAATACCTTGCGTTCCTCAATTTACAGAAGGATTTTTAAGTGAATGCATAAGAAACTACCAACCCTGCATTTGCATAGTAATGGTGATTCTCTATCGATGTGTGTGGTCTGGCATTGTCCGGATGAAATATAATTCCGCTCCTGTTAGACGGTTCAATTGCTGACAATGAAGGTACGAATTAAGAGTTTGGCCGTAGGGGTGCAGCTCATAGTGAATAATTCCTTACCAATCCTACTAAGCATATAACAAAACCTTCCTGGCCGTCAGTTCTGGCTTGGAGACCGTTTGTACCGGCTTGCTGCTTTTCGACCACGATCGTTTTCGATCGACGTTGGTTTAAGTGATCCACTTTTCATCACCAGTCAGTCATCATACAGTTTAAAAATAGGTAGCTCTTGTTACGATTTAGCAGAGATTTCCAAGATGGAAGTTCTGACCATGAAGTTTTTTCTCGTTAACTCGTGTGGCACCCATACTCCAGCTTCTTCGAGTATCCAGCCTTATCAAATATAGTTTCATACTGTTTTTATGCAATGTTTAGCTTCTGGAGAATTCAAGGATTTTCGACTACAGACATTCCACTCCGTGAAGCATCTTTTACATCAAAAATACCAGAAAGAAACCGAAATTGTGCATAAATATCTCCCTTTCGCTTTTTTGTCTTTCGAATTTCGCGGCTATGTACAAAGCGCTACAGAGCTCGTATCTGGCAACACTATACATAATTTGAAAGGTCATGACATAACCTAACGCTATGCATGATTAGTTTGGATATTGCGTTCAACAGTTATAGACGTGTAAACATGGAGTTCACTAACGCCGAAATTCGCGCAATTTAAAGGTTTTCCTTCGTTAAAGGCAAATCCGCTAGAGAAATGTTCCGAGGGATTAATGGTGTTTTGGGGGATGGTACTCTATGACTTCGAACCGCGGAGGAATGGTGAAAACGACACCATAGATAAGCCAGCCGGCGGAAGACCTGTGACGACAAATACTGATCAAATCATGGAATACATCGAGTTAGACCGGCATATGTCATCCCGTGACATCGCCCAGGAGATGGGAGCTAGTCACCAAACCATTTTGAACCATCTGCAGAAGGCTGGATACAAAAAAAAGTTTGATGTTTGGGTGCCGCATAATTTGACGCAAAAAACCTTCTGGACCGAATCAACGCCTGCGATATGCTACTGAAACGGAACGGACTCGACCCATTCTTGAAGCGGATGGTGACTGTCCCAAACAGTGGCCAAGCCGGGATTGACGGCCACGAAGGTTTTGCTGTGTGTTTGGTGGGATTGGAAGGGAATCATCCACTATGAGCTGCTCCCATATAGTCAGACGCTTAATTCTACCATCTACTGCGAACAACTGGACCGCTTGAAGGAGGCGATCAACCAGAAGCGTCCAGAATTGGCCAACAGGAAGGGTGTAGTGTTCCACCAGGACAACGCCAGACCACACACTTCGTTGATGACTCGTCAGAAGCTACGGAAGCTCGGATGGGAGGTTTTATCGCATCGCCTCAAAAGAGGCTTGTGAAAAGTGGCTGTCCGAATTCTTCGCAAATAAGGAGAGGGGCTTCTACGAGGAAGGTATTATGAAGTTGCCGTCTAGATGGAAACAGATCATCGAACAAAACGGCGCATATTTTAACTAAATCCGATCACTGTAACATTTTTTATAAAGCATTGAATGAAGAGCAAAAAAGCGGAAGGGATATTTGACATTTGACAACCTTATATTTAATTAACGTGGTACAGAGTACGATGAAGGTATTGTAGCTTGAGAAGACCTGAAAACTGCAAATTAGTTTAGATGGCGTTAGAATCGGCTGTGAACAAAAAAAAATTGAAAGCGTCAAAGTATATTTGACTATGAAAATTTTCAGCAACAGAACTAAAAAAAAAGATTTTAAAAAGTCTCCACTATTTTTGGAGACTTTCGAAAACCACCACCAAACATTTTATAATGATATTTTAAGTACAAACAACAAGGATTTTAAAGGATTTTACAAAAAAAATATGAACTCTACACAGTGTAGAGTTGAAACAAATTTTTTTATATCATCATAAATCTTAAATCGCATCACTTATAAATTTTGTTAGGTACTTTGCTAACAAGAGTATAAATAACGCCATTTATTGGAAAAATAATAGACTTCTTTTTACTACACCTAATCTGTATCTATGAAAGTTATACATCTCAGATAGAGGACTAAAAAAATATTTATAACAAAGTAAAAAAAATTATTTATTGTCCACAGTAAGCACTTTTTACATTTATTATTCTCAAAATCATCACATCTGGAAGTTCGCTCTGAAACGTCCAATAGTAGTCTGCCATGTTTGTTATGTTCCCTCTTCCTGAGTATCGTTTTTCATTACCTTAATACGGAGTGTCCCAAAATTAGCGCAAGATTTATGTAGTACAGTGTAGACAACCCTATAAAAAAGTGGAGAGCTGACAGTTTAGGCTTAGTGTATTGTTTATTGTATAATACTTGAAAAATAATGAGAGCTTGGCGGCCACAGTTAGACAACTTCATACAAAATATTGTCGTTGGAGATGCCAAATTATTTCAAAATGCTTGTCGAAAAGCAGTTGTTTGGTGTGGATTGTGGGATGGAGGCATAATTGAACCATACTATTTTTAAAAAGTGACTGGCCACGCAGTGGCAGCTACTGATGCTTGATATCGCGGCATGATAACCCAGTTCTTTTTGCCGAAAGCGGAAGATATTGATGTGGCCACTAAGTGGTGCCACATGTTATAAAATTACTACATATGGAACGTCTGTATTACTACATTCTAACACAGCTACTTGGCTGTCATCATATCGAAAAGCTAACAACCAAATAGGTCTTTTTGTGATAGACGGAAGACGAGTCTCGAGTCTTGAGTTCTTGACGTACGTACGCTCCGAGGACCCAACATCAACTCGGACCACTGTAGATGTGCACCCGCCTCTGTGTGTCAACGAAGGCCCGTCAATAAATACAAGAAAGGTTCGACATCGTACGGTTTCTACGGTTTTCTCCTTTTCTCAGTAACTTAGTATAAGGGAACTGTGGAACGGAATTTCAAATTCTTGTCTTTAGCAGCAAATAAAACAATTGGTTTTCGGAGAAGTAGTAAAAAAAAAACACCTAGAACAATGAACAATGCCAAGCCGCAGTGGAGAGGAGATAAAACGGGCAACATTGCCAAAAATCACTAAGCATGCGGAGTAGGATAAATACAGAGAAATGAAGATCAAAAAAAAAGGAAGAGGCCGAGATGTGTGAATATTAAGAACTCACCTGGACGACTATAAAAAGACGACTACCAGATGGTTTCAATACCAGCTCAAAATATTGTAGGACCCGGAGGAGTAATCTAGCTCAAAGAACCAATTTCATATCCTTGTAGGATTCCTTGAAGTGTACGGTGTGACCATGAGGTATGGAAGTATATAAACAGCCATAGCGAAGCAGAAGTGCTTTAAGTCTAGTTGTATGAGATCTTAAATGTATCCATCAAACTTGTAATAATTATACAATAAATTAAGTCGTCCTCTTGACCAAACTACATCTCAGGACATCTACTGCAAAATGTGGGCACTGCTTGGAAAAGGTATTTCCTGCTTTTGAGCCATGTCCGTAGAAACTTAACAGCGATTCTAGAACGTTTCAAACCCCTTATTTACTCGGTTGGCTTGTTCTGGGAGAACAATTTCGGACTCTAACATATTCAAATTCAGAACTTGACTTGTCATGGGGTTTAGGTACAGCCCTATCTTCGTCAGAACTTGAAATTTCTTGGGTAGATGTATTTCGGCGAGTTTATAAGCGGATGCCGATTTGGGTGTGAAATAGACTGCCTACCTTTTTAATTGTATCTCTGAGTTCACATATCGTATGCAGACCATATATATATATATAATATATATTATATATATAGAAGAACTTACTGTTTATTCGGCCTCCGAACGGCGGATGGATTTTTATAAGGGGCTCTTTGTTTCAAGTCGGAAATACGCTCGCAGGGCTTGATATTCCCTGCTGAGGGGCGGCCACAATTAGAAAAATTATAAAATATTACGTTTGCAAAATTACCTTACGTTTTTGAGTATTTTTTTTTTTAGTTTTCAGAGCTCTTGAATACAGATAAATCACATCCAATCAACATCCAAATAACATTTTTCTTTTAAATTTCAAATCTTTAGCTTTAAATTTTTGGAGAGTGAAAAAATATTTTTTTACTCAAACTCAAAGTATTTTTTTTTTATCGATTGCTTGCTGAATAACTTCTAAATTTTTCGCTGGGATATCCTTGGATGTATGTATATTTCCACGATATGCGATTGTATGCATGCATCGTGCTGCAGACCTCCTAAGAGTCTTTGGCAAGTGCACCGGAACGCGCTCTACTGTCCTCCATCTGACGTCATAGCATTGAGAGAAGTTAAAGTGGAGGAAAGAATAATGAAACTGAATTGCATATAAACATGAACAAATTTCTGCTTCTATGACGTCAATCTGTCATATGGCTTCCAAGCAAAGTTACGGTAAATTTA